CAATCCGGTATTCCATCTCGTGCCCTGAATTAATGTGTCACTCAAATTAGTGGGAGAGCTCCCCAAAAATGCTGGCCTTTGGGGATTGCAGAAGACAGAACTCCATCCTCTGCAGTGCAAAATGAATCCTGTGAAGTAATCTTCCACCACAGAATCGTACAAGAAACCTATCTGTTATAGTACATGTATTAGTCGATCTGCAGAGACATATAATAAGAAGAAATCACGTTTGAGATCGCCAATTGCTTGCCTCTTTACCCCAGGCTGTGTTTGTCTCATAAGTTGGGAAGCCTACAAATCTTGTTTCTTGAAGCAGTGCAGTCACAGAGTCCTGATCATCAATGACCTTGTTATCGCTGTGGCTGGTTCTTTTAAGTGATCTTAGGAATTCATTGGACGGGCCAAAGGATTGCTTGAGCTGAACGAGATCCACATCTAGTCATGTAAACAACAATGCATGTCAACTATTGATTCTCGTATTGCAAAATGCAAATACAGAAATTAAAGTTTCTCCGTGGATGACAGGAAAAAGCTGGACAAAATACATCAGAGTTGGAGATTAAATTTACAGTTGCATGCTAAAAATTCCAAGACAGGATGTGTCAGAGGGAGTTGAATCAAAGTGATAAATCTTTTTTGCAATCGTGTTAGCTTGGATTGTGGCAAGAACTATATAACCTCCGTCTGCAAAGGGAAATGGTACTATTTATAGTTTCATCAGGAAGAATTCCTATCTGCCAGAAAGGACACGCTTGGCTATCGAATTTCTGCAATTATAAGCAATTCAAAGGGAAAGGGTGTAGATTTTGCAACAAATTCAGGGCATGATGTACCTTTTTCTCTGCTACGCCCATATAGTGCTTCTCTTTTGATGTAAAAGCATGTACCAGACAATATTGGTCCCCTAAGCCCATCCATACCAGGCCACATGACCTGAAATTTAACCCAATTGTTACAACATACAACTAGTCGGAAAGATGGAACTAGTTAGGAGGCTGCTGGAGAAATTCTATGCTTTCAATGTATAAGTTGCCATTCCGCAACAATTTTTGTAGAGCACTACCACTTCTGAACCAAAAGTTCTTTTAGAACAGGAATGATATGAGGAACTGACATTTAGACATACCACAAATATATATCTCAGAGCAGCATCATATATGTCATTCTTGCTAATGTTACCGAATTTCTGTGGAAATTGGACAAAAGCAAGGGAAGAACGCATTTTCTGGTCCAGATGGAAGCACATTGCTTGACGGGCCGATGTTGAATCATTACAGTACATGTCACAGTCCAATACCAATATGTAAGGGCTGTTGCTTATGATGCCAGACACCCGAAGCTGCAAAATTTATCACTTGTTGATCATATTAATATGACTGAGATGTCAATTGATGTATAACTTTTCAAGCATGACAAGATTCAGAGGGGAATGTCCCGTACAAGAACATTCAGGGATCCAGCCTTGAAATTATGGGGATGAGATGGTCTTTTCTCTCTAGAAACATAAACCACCCGGGGCATCTTGGCATTATCGGAATCTGCTATTACTGGATCTTTGGAGCCTATTATCTGCAAAAGAAACAATGACTATGGACACGGTTTACAAATAAAATAACTTTTTTTGACCACGATTAGATACTTTTTTACACGTTCTGATAACCTTATTATTAATCAGTTTTAACTCTATAGAGGCTAAAGAAACCATGGCGCCATGAATCAGCATAAATCAAGCTAGACAGCTCCAATATGGACAAATTCCCAATACTCTGGTCATCAGTTACTAATGCAACAGAAAGGTATCTGCTGTCATTTTCTGGGATTAAAGTCACATCTTTATGGAACTTCCTATCAAAAAATTATGGTAAAAACAGGATTGAGAATCAGTTCTGAATGACACGCATATTTTCGAATGAGAATATAATCAACCCGTAAGAAACTTGAAGCACATAAAATTGTTTCCCTGATTATACACTATTTACATGTTAATATATGTAGTCAAAGACTTGATTGAATCCAGGAGAGGAAGATGAACCAACCGCCTATATATTTGAATCCCCCTCAGTTTGGTAAGAACTCGTTCGAGTTCAAGTTAGTTAGCTGGCTAATTAGTTAAATCAAGTTTGAACAGCGTTTTGTGTTTAATAACACTGAATAAAAAGTTTATTCAAACTCAGTTTGAAAACTAAATAACCCTCGACAACTAAACAACCCAAATTTAAACAGACCTGAATATTTGGGTGTTCTACTTGATTAATGTCGTTTACATAACTAACTGAATTAATCAATAAGCTGTTGGGTTTTGGTTCACCAAAATGTGGGTGGCCCAAACAAAAAGCCTATTAATGAAACTTGCCCAACTTGACTTGAGAAGAAAATAAAAGCCCAGTTACTTTGACTTGAGAAAGGATAGCCCACTGTGTGTGGCTTAAAGCACAATGCAAACTAACTAAATTTATCCAAGCCTAGCCTTGTGAGTTGCACTTGAGAAAAGAAAGCAGTCCTGGGCCCGTGAGTTGGACGAATGAATAGAGAGGAAAAGCTTGACGAAAGGGAGAGAGAAAGAAAGCTGTGGGGTTGGGAAGGCCCAATAAAAACCTCACAAAGAAAATCCAGTTGGGGGTCCAATACTCCAATCCATTCACTACACCAAATCAACTTCCCTTTGCCAAGTTAGCTACCAGGCAACGAATAAATCCAGTCTTTGATTACAGTGCTTCTTTTGTAAATGTGGTAGATTGATTTTACCATTTTTCCCCTGGAGTTTCGTTCCTTATAACATTTGCTATCCTTCTTTACCTAAACTATTCATTAGGTCCATTCTCATTTGTAATGTATATCCTTTCACGAACCTGCTATTTTTCAATCCCTAAATCATATTCTTCCCAGCTATACACTACCTTCAATCTTTCTTTTTTTTTACGGCAACAATAATATTTTTACAATCTAATCTATCCTAATTTAGAGGAAGGAAGCCTGAAGAGACTATGTATAAGGAGATAGTAGGTATAAGAACCTGATTAAATCAAAGGGATGCTCTGATACCTCTTTTAAATTTTTTTCATTACAGGTGTAATTCGAACCCGACCTATAACCTATAATCAAAGAGGACTTAGTCCCTTTTTGGTTTACACTACCCTTCGATCAAGCAACATAAAGATTCATGGCAAGGAGGCCAAAACACATTTCGGACTTAAATGTGCAGAACTTTATAGCTTTATCCGCAAAGAGCGGACCTTTAACTGAAGTAAAAAAGAGTATTGAGTCAAGTACCAGGTGGGTACCTCAATCATGGCAGGGTGATCTTGACTACTTTTAGCCCCTATACTTTCTCCAGCTATCCTCAATCTCTCCTTGAACTTCTCATACTCCACCTGTGGACAGAATTAACCAGTCAATAAAATATCTGCTCTTTTTTGGAGTATAGTGAGCATATTATATCATGAGCAAACCTCAATATTTTTCCGTTCTTCTTGGAACCCAATTTTGTTACCATGATCTTCAATAGTTGTCGAAAAATAGGCCTCAGGACATCCATTCTTGATCGCATATTTCCTGCAAAATGGAATCCATAACCTTCCAAAGTCCCAGGCTTCATGAATAGCATAAAGGGTCAAAGACGAGCCTGCATCATCAGAAAGATAAACAGAGAGCTTCCCCGGTGGATAATCGAGAGCCATGGAGGATAAAACAGTGTTCATAACTTTCAAGGGTGGCTCTCTGACGGGATCAGCAGTGCATATGAAAACGTCAATTGGAGGAAGATCATCATCAGGTGGCAATCTTTCAAGAAAGACAGAACGAGAGATAGGCCTCCAGTTATAGGCAGATTTCATGAGCCAAATGAAGCCAAGGAGAAGCTCAGAAGAAAAGATTAACAGCCAAGGAATTAAAGGGATTGCTTGGGAATCTTTGTTGAAGAGAAATGAAGAAACCCTGTAGACAATCATGCATATTAACACCGCGGAGTGGATAAAAGTGTGTGATCTATTGATGTAGACTAACAATTTGTCGACTGCGATTTGATGAAGAGGAAAAGCTTCCATTTTGGGGGATTTTTTGTTCTTTTTTGCTTAATTTTGTTTTTGAGGTGAACTATCAAAGCCCATGAGATCAATACAAGGTTTTAGGATAATGTCCGAACGAGGAAATAGCCGCAAGAAAAAGTTGTTGAAGATATTGGTAGTACTTTTCCAAGTGAGTCTGGATGAAAATTTTGCTGACTTGAGCTAATTTGCAGCTTCTGCTGATGAATCTTTGACCATTGACTTTCTTTTCCCCGGAAAAGGTTAACCTTTTGTGAGTAGTTGCAATGTTTGACTAATCCAGTAAGTGTTATTGACGTAGTTGGGACAGCACGATAGTCAAGAATGGAAACACTTTAAAAGCCGTAAAAGTTGAGCTTGATTTCACGGCTACCAACTACCAAGTGCAAAAAAAAAAAAAAAAAAAAAAAACTACCAAGTGCACAAAAGCCCAATTTTCATATTGTCTAGCGGGATGGATTACAGATTTACTTTCTCAGATACTGAAAGAACATGTATACCAAACAAAATTGATTGATGTTCTTGTTCTTTCTTCATAGTGACCAAGGACTTCATGATTTTCGTCGTTTCAAATCCTAAAAGAACAGATCAGACCTCAACCCAACACATTTTATCCCTTTGAAGCCACTGCACTTCTTCAGGAATTGATATTGCGATTCAACAGACCCTTTGAGAGGGTAATCAAGCTGCGGACTTCTTTAATTGGAACAGCCTCCCCGTTGGCATACGAACGGTTTAGATAGCTTGTAAATGTTCCTGTTATTTTCCATTTTCTACCTGGGAAAAAAAAAAAAAAAGGGAAGGCAAGTTGAAGCTGAATACTTCGGCGTGCATGAATAGAAGAGATCCCAATACCAAGATAATTGCAGCCAGCAGAGCCGCTGGAATGGCAGAAGATTCAGGAATACGGCCGCTGCCGTTCCTGAAGAACATTCCTTCAATCACGGCTACGACATATACGGAGATAAAAGCTTAAATAAACATCACATCATAATTTACAGTGAGAACAATCTTGACAGCACCTAGACGTAGGGAAGCAATATTGTCGTATTCCTAGAATAATCAAAGTACAGATTGGAGCAACGAACATTGTCGATGCCTGAAAATCATATATGCCGGATTGGTAACGCTTGAAAATCATACATACCGTCTTGAAGTATCTAAGCTGACTGTCATAGATATCTTTTCAACTAATATTATTAAATGTCCGAGGCAACTGGACATATGCTAGCTTGGGCGATATTTTGTTTTGTCAAGGGCAAAACACATCGCTTTTCGAGCCGAGCTTGAATCGTTGCAGTACATGTCGCAGTCTAAGATTAGTACGTACGGTGAATTGCTGATCATGCTAGAGACTCGAAGCTGCGAGGACGTTGAGGGCTCCTGCTCCAGCCCTGAAATGGTGAGGATGAGAAAGGCCTCTTCTCACCAGATACATCAGATGCAGCATTGATTACCTGCCAGTCATAGAAAAGCAGAACAGATTGGCTTAGATTTCGACCGATTACTACAATCATAATATATTAACATAGAAGATTGAACATATATACCTCAATAGTAGGATGGTGATCATTGCTAGTAAGGGTGCTTGTGTCTTCTTTAATCCGTAGCACTCGACGTTCCTTGAACAAATCACAATGCCTCTGCGCCAAGGAATCTGGAATTGATGTCTATCATTTGATAAATTCTTTTAAATCCATATTATCAATAGGCATATGCATAAATTATCAAGTCAAAAGGCAGAATAACTCAGTGGGAAAAGCATTGATTAATTTTGACCAAAACAAAAATCTTGAGGAGAAAATGACTCAATAGGAAAAATATTTTTTTTTTTTGGAATTTGGGATTAATAATCGAGATCTGCATCATGTGAATCGCAACTTAATATCGGCCATTCATTGTTGAGAAAATTCCCACAGTAAACTTTTGGAATTGAAGAATACGGTCGCTTCTATCACTGGGTATTGTACTGCTAAGATGAAAAACCATCACTGTAATTTCTTGCGTCCATGATCTAATTAGCTCCAATGTGTAGTCAAATAATACGTTAAATTAACTTTTTCCCTTTTATGGTTTGGTGTTTTATCACATAACTCTTTTGTGATTTAAAACCTTATATATGACCCTTTCATGGTTTGGGTTAACGTGTCATTGTTACTTTTTCCATTAAAACTAATGATCAATAATAAAAAGTCAAAATCAAACTATGCAAATTTACCCTTTCATTATTTTTTTCCTCCAAACATAAAAAAGAAGAAATTGAAATAAAAAATAGATAAATAAGAAATAGAAAATATCATTAAAGATTTTGTTTAAAAACCTATAATTATATTTATAGTAAAAAAAGATTTGATATTTTTTGTTTCTTATTTATTTGTTTTATATTTTCCTTCCATTTTTTGTTTCTTATTTATTCATTTTTTATTTCCCTTCCACCTCTTTTGTATTTAGAGAGAATTAAAATTTTGTAGGCCAAAGTATAGGTTTTTAAAATCATCTATTCTCTTCCCAAAAAAAAAGAGAAAGAAAAGGAAAAAAATAGTGAAAGGATGAATAGGTTAATTTAATAATTTGACTTTGACTTTTTATTATTGATCGTTAGTTTTAACGAAAACATTAATGATAACAATTTAATCCCAACCATGATGGAGTTATATATAGTTTTTAAATTATAGGGAATTATATATTAGTCTTTTTCGATTAATTTTAACGAAAAAACTGATGGTGACACTTTAATCTGAACCAAAAGGGAGTTACGTATAAGTTTGGGGGGTTATGTCCTACATATCTCATCACAAGAATAGACAAATTTCCATAATGCTGTCGGCCTGTTGAATTAGTACATGAATAAAAGAGATCCAATGACCAAGATAATTGCAGCCAGCAGAGCTGATAGAGTAGCAGAAGATTCAGAAATACGACCACTGTCCTTCCTGAAGAACATTGCTTCAATCACAGGGTATTGCAGAGCTACGATGAAAAATGAGATGAAAGCTTGAATAAACATCTCATCGTAGTTTCCAGTCACAACAATCTTGACGGCTCCTAGAAGTAGGGAAGTCACATTTAAAATGACCAAAGTGCAGATTGGAGCGATGAACATGGTCGATGCTTGAAAATCATATATGCCTGACAGATAACGCTTAAATTGTCCTTCATCCGCTACTTTGTTGGTAGGCTTGAAACTTGCTTTTCTCATACCAATTTTCACTTGGATTGCATTTAAGAAGCTGTAAATATAACATCCTACTGACCTTATCATCCACATCCTCTGATCGTATATCCACGGTCGAATTGAAAATCCATCAGCTAGAACTTCTTGTATATCCTTGAGATTTGATGAGAGGAATACAAATACAAAAACAAGGAAAAATGGATTTGATATCTGGAATTGAAAGGAAAGCATTGTCAAGAAGTCTGTCCAGTAATGAGATATAAAACATATTCAAATGAGTAGTAAACTCAACCACTAAAATGAATGATTTGATGATTTTACTCAGTTCTAATGTTAGAAAATAAAAGCCAATGGAACTTTGTAAAATGATCAGTCATTCACGTTACACGGAGCAATACTGAAGAATGAATCAAGTGAATAAAGGTTAACACTTGTACTCCTCTTGTACATACCTCTGGATATAAAGGAATCCCTTGCAGTAGACAGAGCTGGGGAATGATTGCTAAACACCACAAGGGGAAGAAGTTCAAAAAGTAATATGCAATGTGTGAGATATACATACACTGTAGAATACTGGACATTCTTGGTGCACCATAAATCAGAGGAGAATATTTCGAGAGAACTATGTCAACCAAACCGGTATACCATCGCGTGTGCTGAACCAAATAATCACTTAGATTTGTAGTGGCTGAACCCAAAAATGATGGTTTTGGTGGATTAATATAGACACTAGTCCAACCTTTGCATTGTAACATGAAGCTTGTGAAGAAATCTTCCACTACAGAAAGGTACCTGAAGCCTATCTGCATTATACATGCAGTTTGTTAGTGATAGCAGAGTTGAGGGGGAAGACTTGGATGATGAAGAGACTTGATTTCTAGACTAGAATACATGCCTCTTCTCCCCATTCCGTGTCTTTCTCATAGGAACAAGAAGCTAAAAGATCCATCTCTTTGAGCGCTGTACTAAAAAACTCTCTTCCGTTGGTGTGGTTTTTCTGGTAGATAGATATGATGAAATCATTTGATGGACCAAAAACTTTTTGAAGCTGGGCCAAATTAGCATCTGCAAATGAGAAAAAGTACTAAATCACTTTTTATTAATGACTTGACATGCACGAATTACACGTAAACTGCATGATTTATTTCTTAATCTACAATTGAAAGCTTCGAGGGCTATCTGCATACCCTTTTGAAGTTGGGAAGTTCCATAAAGCGCCATTCTTTTCATGTAAAAGCAGGTGCCAGTGAACGTTGGTCCCTTGAGCCCATCCGCTCCATACCACATATGCTGAAAAAACATGCATCAAATTCGGAAAACAATTATGCAATACAAGACAAAGATTATTAAGGAGGAGGCTTGATTTGGAATAGCTTAACTCGAAAATAGTATATAAATTCCAATACCGAAAAGCAGAGTCTAAGCTGACTGTCATAGATATCTTCGGAACTGATATTATGAAACTTCTGAGGAAACTGGACATATGCTAGCTTGGGAGATATTGTTTTATCAAGGTGAAAGCACATAGCTTGTCGAGCTGAGCTTGAATCGTTGCAGTACATGTCGCAATCTAAGATTAGTATGTATGGCGAATTGCTTAACATGCTAGACACTCGAAGCTGCAAATGCAAATGGAAAACTGTCCAAATGTTAGAAAAAGTAAAAAATAACATCTTAAGTATTTCACATGCAAGTGATATAAACATGATGCGTTTAAACATGGATCCATGAGTGAATCAATCTGCTTATTGTTTGCTTAAAGATGTGTCTCATTGGTCTAGTTTGTGGAAAAATTTAAGTTAGATTAATATCATTTATAACAATCTAACAATAATAATTTAAGGTCGTCACCTTCCTCCATCCCCACCACATTCTGTAAAAGTTTCTCCTATCCCTATCCCGTCTCCTACTCCCCCAACCCTTGCCCCGTCCCACCTTACTATCCCACTGATGCATTTATCCCACCCCGCTATCATTATTATTATTATTTGATTTAACTTTTTCAATTTATGTAGATTTAATAACAGTTTTATTAATCATTTGTTTGAAATTTTAACGAAAATTATTTCATTTTAACATAACAACATAACATATTGACTATTTCATGAAATAAATTTATATAGTAACAATAACATAGCATTTATTTCATATTATATGTGTAAAAAAAACACACACACACACACATATAATATTTCTTTGCCTACTGAGTGAAACATGCTTATACACGCATTAGAATAGAATATGCACCGATTAAATAATGCTATTGATAAGAAATTTTACCTTGCTTTTTAGTAGCACACCTTCAAGTTAAATTTATTATTAGACAGTGAAATAAGTGTTTTTAATTCTTAGATGATAACAATGTCAACCCTTTAAAACGTAGACTGCTATTATTATTATAATTATGGGAATAATTTTCTAACGAGAACATTGAATTTTTCCTACTTTTAATGATGGCTCGATTGTCCCCACCCACTTCCTCCCGCCCTCCCCCCCAAAAGAAAAGGGTTATGCCCACAACATATATTAGCCAGGGAGATAGTGAGGGTACAAGGACGTTGAGGGCTCCAGCTTTGAAACGGTGAGGATGAGAGGGCCTCTTTTCACGAGATACATAAACGAGAAGGGGCATTTCTGCTTGGTTTGCCCTATCATCATCTGCATCTTTGATTAACTGCCAGTAATAATTATGCAGAACAAACTGGCTTAGATTTTGAAGGATCAAACATACCTCAATATGGAAGGCTAACATTGAAGATCAAACATACCTCAATAGAAGGAGGGTGATCCTTACTGGCAGTGCTTGTATTTTCTTGAATCCGTAGCACGCGTTCCTTGAACACAGCATATTGTTTCTACACCAAGAAATTAATGTATACTATCCGATAAAATTCTGTTCCATAAAATCAAATAACAACCGGCACATGCATATATAAATTCATCAACAAAGATAGATGATGATTCAAAAGACAAAGCAATCGAAAATTCGTGATGAAAAAACAAAATATTGAAAAGGAAATGTGACTAGAATTGCCATAACTTGTTCAGTTCCTCCTAACCCTCCAAAATCAGAGAGTAAATAATTTCACTATACATGTGATAACAAGTTTTACACAAAACAAAAAAATTTTTGACAAATTCTAAAAGGTGCGACCAACTCGAGTCTACCAAATTTTGTACTAGTAGTACTAGCTTCTACAAGTTTGACGGACTTTGTTGTTGATCCCTTAAATAGCATTAAGAAAATAAAACAAAAACATAAAAAAGGACCAACCTGAATTTCTTTCTTGTCATCTATGAACTCAATACTACTGCTCCTGCTTAGGCTCCCATCACAATCATCATCTTTTGAAAAATAAGCTTCAGGGCACCTAGTTTTGATCCCATATTTAGTGCAGAATGGAAGCCAAAAGCGTGCAAATTTCCAGGCTTCCCTCAAGGCACCAAGAGTCACAGGAGAGCCCCCATCGTCCGAAAGGTAGACATGAAGCTTGTCTAGAGGATAATCCAGTGCCATTGCTGAGATGACCGTATTCATCACTTCCACACTTGGCTCTTTTTCAGGATCTGCAGTGCATATAAACACGTCGATCGCTGGAAGTTTTTGGTCCTCCGGTAGTCTTTCTGGGAATACGCTACGTGAAACTGGCCTCCATCGATATGATATGGAGAGAAACCAAAGAAAAGATAGTACGAGCTCAGAAGCAAAGACCAGAAGATAAGAGACAAAGTATGGCAGTTCCCTGCTTTCAGCTAATATTATTTCCAGGATGGATGAAACTCTGTAGTATAACAAGGCTAATAAAGCAGTACCATGGACAAAAATATAGAAGCGATTAATGATCATGCAAGACTTTTGGACATGACAACTATGAAGAGGAAGAGGATCCTCCATTGCTTGCAAGTTCACGCTTCTTAGCTTAGTACAGAATCACATTCATCGATCTATAATTTATACACATTAATTTTATTTTTTTTTTCCAAAGGGAGACCCCAAGAGGATGGTCCAATACGCCACACAAGTCGATTTCTATCTTGCCCCCTTTCGAAGAGGGAGACATGGCAAGAAGAGGATGGTCCAACAGTTTTAATGTAATCATCAACTCTTAATTGCATTAGTTAAAAAAATTCGAAACTTATACCGTCATTATATGAGTTTACATTAAAAATTTTAATTATATGAATTTACACTAGAAATTATAAAGATTAAATTTACTAGTTTAAACACGATAGAACTCACAACTTGTGAGTCCCATGATGTCCTCAATACAAGGGCCTGGATTGGACCATGGCTAAAGTGGCCTAATCGGGGCCGCTCAAGTTTTTGATCAGACACAATTTGAAATTAACAGTCCAAATCAAACTACGATTGCAACTCAATTTGAACCGCTAATTATTTTTTTCGCTTATCTACTTTTTATTGACATAAACTTTATTGAATCTTGACATGTAGATTGGCTTTGTTTCCGTATAAACTTAATATATCTGATTTTCTAGAAATCCCATATTGACCGGTTCTTTTCAAATGATGAAACTCGAGTTTATATTTAGTGCAATCGACCAATACTTCAATCTGTTTTCTCTAATTTTTTTTCTTTTCCCTTTCCCTAATGCAATTGCCAACTTGTAGTTTTCATTTCAATGGCCTATGAGTTCGATCAATCATGATTAGTGCGGAAATGGCCAATATGTTTTTGCCCAAACCTACTCTGTGGCAACGAGGGTGGGTGCCCGCGGGCGTAGAAATGGGACAGAACGGGGGTGAAAAATCTCCCTCCTCCTTAAAACGGAGCGGGGGTGGAGCAATATACATCAGTCCCTTTCTCTTCTCCGTCCCCCTCATACAAAAAAAATTATATATATTTAAATTTATAGATGTATATATCACACATATATATACACAATATAATAAATTAGTTATAATTCAATTCCTTATATTTAATAACATAATTGTATATCTCTAATGACTAATAAGTAATAATCTATTATTTAATAAGGTAACTAAACTAATAGTACTATATTATCCTATTACATCTCAGTCGGATGTTTTAATGTCATTTTTATAGTATTGACTTGTTGCTAATCTTTTTTAGTTATTAGTATTTGCAACTCATTGAATGGTTTAAGATTAAGTACTTGAACATATTTTTATTAAATATTTTAACAGATTGTTAAATATGATAGGTTAATTTCTTTTCCTCACGATTTTTTTCCCTGTGGGAGATTGGCGAGGAAAACAAGAGAAGGGGTAAAGGGTGGGGATGGGATCAAGTACAATATTCCTTCCATCCCATATATTTAGTTATGTTCGGAGATATGTGCTTTTTATGTATAGTACACTCCGCTGAAAACTTTTTCTTTTTTTAGTACTTTTATCCTTAATCATGTATTGATCAAAGTAAAAAGTAGAGATCAATACCATCATATACTGTCTTTATACATCATTAATGAAAGGTACAAGGAAAATTTCAGATTATAAAGTAGTTAGAAATGTTAAATATGATAAATATTTTGAAATAATTAAGAGAGGAAAGTATAACATTTTTAATGGAACGAAAGGGGAGTAATAGAAATCAATTTTTGTTAGAAGTAGTTGTCTTTAATTTTTTGGGTAGAAAAAAGTTTGTATGGTTTCGGTCAAACTCCAATCTATTGCGGCCAAGATCAGATCGAGTTTGCCGGCGGACCAATGCCGTCCCATTCTTGAGTGAGCTGGAGCGCAGCCATCTTATCCACCAAACTAGCTAGAAGCCTAGAAGCTGTCGAAGCAAAACACAGCGGCATAGGAACCGCGGGACCTCCCAATAATAATAAAGGGAAAACGGAAGAAACTGAACTATCGCTCAGGGTCGAAACACTAAAAGAAAAGCAATAGGAACCATGGGACCTCATAATAATATAGGGAAAATGGAAGTGCGCTCGTGCTCATCAGAAGAAAATGAAAAAGTCATTTTCCTTTTTAAAATGCCCTTTGTCTTTGTAAAGGTTGAGTACATACGATCTTTTTGTGATGAAATGGCCGTCCTTGTCAATGGCCGTCAAAAGTTGTCGTTGGAATCTTTGTAACCATTTCGAGGTACAGTTTACGAAATTTTATGCCAAAATAAAGGTTGCATTATTGCAGAACTGCAGCCCCCCTTGCCGCCTGCATAATTGCTGCCACAAATTTCAGGACCCACGTTCAAGCTAAGTCGCCAGAAGTGGTAAATGGTCACATCGTCTCGATACTTTGCCTCCAGTCACTTGCAATAGTTTTTGTTAAGCATTTAATTCCTTTGACTATTCTCCACATCTGGTTATACTAGAATACGTGTACGTGTACGTGTCCATTGCGCACTCCAAAACGGCAATAGATTGATAATTTTATGTGTATCATAAGTTTTTGGGATAATTTCAGAAACCTCCCCTGAGGTTTCTGACATTTACACTCACCTCCCCTGTGGTTTGAACAATTACACTGACCTTCCCTGAGGTTACTAATCCTTTACAAATTCAGTCCAAATGATTAAAATATTGTTTTAGAGAGTGAAATTAGAATTTTGTACCTGATTTGCCATTTATGCTACATGTCCAATGAATGACAAAGTATTACAAATTAATTAATAATTAATAAACTTAAGGAGCGTAGTTTATAGGCAAATACGTATTACTTATTTAAAGTACCAGCTCTTTACGGATATTTTACTTTCAAACATTTACTTTATTACAAATATTTATTCTCAAATACAGATTTGTATTTACTCTCAAATATTTAATTTTCGTTAAATAAAAAACCTACCAGTTTTTCTTCCGTAGAAATATTAATATAACACTTTTTCAATTTAAAGTACCGACTCTTTACAGATATTTTATTTTCAAATATTTAATTTATGATAAATATATTAACGTTTGTAATTAAAAATTAAAAAGTGTTACAGTAATATTCTCGCAAAAAGAAAATCAGTAGGTTATCCATTTGATATAAATTAAATATTTTTTAAAAAAAGAAATCCCCCATAAAGTATTAATTTTTTATGATTTTCATCCATTACATGAGTAAAGTATTAGCTCTTTATGAGTATTTTATCCTAAATCATTTAATTTATGTTAAATACATAAATATTTATAACTAAAATTGAAAAAGTGTTATATTAATATTTCTATGGAAGAAAAACTGGTAGGTTTTGTATTTAACAAAAATTAAATATTTGAGAGTAAATACAAATCTGTATTTGAGAATAAATATTTGTAATAAAGTAAATGTTTGAAAGTAAAATACTCGTAAAGAGTTGGTACTTTAAATAAGTAATACATATTTACCTATAAACTACGCTCCTTAAAGTTTATTAATTATTAATTAATTTGTAATACTTTGTCATTCATTGGACATGTAGCACAAAGGACAAATCAGGTACAAAATTCTAATTTCACTCTCTAAAACAATATTTTAATCATTTGGACTAAATTTGTAAAGGATTAGTAACCTCAGGGGAGGTCAGTGTAATTGTTCAAACCACAGGGGAGGTTAGTGTAAATGTCAAAAACCTCAGGGGAGGTTTCTGAAATTATCCCTAAGTTTTTTTGATACGTTGTCCACAACAATTCCAAATTTATTTTCTACAGAAATATTATTATTAGTTTGGTAATCATGGGATTTCTGAACTAAACTCTTGATTTTTTCCATTCTTCTTTCCCTGTGAGATTGTAAATGAAAAAAAATGCATCTTTCCTATGAGATTCTAAATGAAAAAAGTTGCAACTTATGAGTTTTTTTTTTGGGTCAATCGTCACCATCTACTCCTACTCTAATATATTTTAAAGGGTGAGATTCTAACTGAAAAAAGTTACATCTTATGAGGTTTTTTTTTTGATCAATCATCACTAACTACTCCTATTCTAACCTATCCTAATAGGGTGATCCAATTGGGTGAAGAAGAATCGTCCACATTAGTGATAATATGATGAGAGGTAAGAGGTTTAAATCCTTAGTCTTTCACCCTACAAATATATGTGATGGCTAACTATTCTATTGGTAGTTGGTTACATCTTACAAGGTTACATTACATCAATTGTAATAATATTGGAAAGCGAACTACTGAATCGCAGCTCAAGGACAAGGAGAGGGACAACCAATTGCCATTTTGAAGTAGTTAATGCTGAAACGCTACACAACCAAAACGTAGCAAAATGAGCATTTTTGGACCAGAGTTGTCGTACTGTAATTTTTCTTGCACTCCAAGCACTTTTTCAGGTTGACACGCATGTCCTTTGACATATGGAATTGAACGTTGCTGCACACATATTCACGAGAATACAAATTTTGCAGTTGAGATCCTCAGTAATACTATTGGATGTTCATTTCAATGCCATGCCAGTCCCACTTATCGCAGCAGGAGGATAAAAGAAACTTGAGTAAAACCAAGCCAATTGAAGTTGTTAAAAAATTAAAAAGTACATGACAACTTAAATGAATAAGACACTTAATATAAATATAGAAATGACACACAGAATTATCACTGAAAGGTGGCATCGAGAATGTCATGTACAAATGCTTGTTTGGATGCAAGTTTTAATTATGAGAAGAAATCGCTTGAATTACAAACATATTTTCCGATCACAAAAAATGACAACTCAAGGACAATGAGAGAACCAATTGCCATTTCGATACAATTAATTGTCATTTTGATGTAGTTAATGCTGACACACTCCACAATCACAATACAAGGAAATGAGCATTGTTGGACCAGAGTGGCCATACTGTCATTTTCCTTGCACTCCATGCATTTTTTCAGATTGACACCTAGTTCCTTTTACATGGCCACATGGAATTGAACGTTCCTACACAGATCTTCACGAGGATACAAATGTTGGGCTTGTTTGGATACAAGTTTTACTAACACCAAAAAAAAAAAAAAAAAAACTTGCATATATAAACACATTTTCCAACCATCTTTCTATATTCCAATCATATTTTTATTTCACATACATAATATCATAAAAAAATTCTGCAATATTGCACATGTTCTTCTTTGAAATCCAAACTTTTCTAAGAG